AATGAAGTGGGTCGTCGATTCGTCTCCGGCGGCTGTCACCTGGCGGAGCGGAAAAACGGCGACTTTGCGGCTCTCTGGCGGCTGTCACCCGACGGAGAGGCGCTGGATAAAGGTGGGGCGCGTGTCAGGGAGCTTCATCCTCAGGTCCGCGCAGCAAGAGGAGGCTCTTCATCGCATCTGGTATGCTCTCAGGAGGTGGCGACTGGTCTCCCGGCGGATCGTCCTCTTCCCGATGACGGCTTGTTCGTCGATCAATCGGAGATGATTTACTCGATGGATTCGCGATCTTTTTATCGCGAATCGTTCAGCAATTTTAGTAGCAATGCTCCGCGAATCGCGTTGACGAGATTTTCGCCGATGATCTAGCGATTCTCGTTGCTTAATCCTTCACCGGCGATCTGCAAGAAAGTCGTAATAATCAGATAAAAATATATGAATTTTGACTCTGGGAGGATTCGAACCTGCGCTGGTCGCCCGCCTCTTCTGAGGAAGGTGTGACGGGAGTTTAGTCCCACATCGGTTGTACGCCGATTTTTCGGGCGAATATATAGCAATGTTAGCTTCCTGACAAAGTCCCTTCTCTTGCGTGTATGACCACTCCTTGCCCCACAGCCGGCTGGCCACCGGTGACGTGGAAGGGGAGTGGCGTACGCGTGCCCTGTCGGCCTCCAAGCCAAGCCGCTCGAGCCCTTGCTCGCGGCTTACTCCCCGACTGTGCTTCCGACCCGCTTGCGGGTCCCCCTATTTTTGTTTCTTGTTCTTGTTCTTCATTTATCTCAAAAGTAAGACTGTAAAAATCGTATAAAATCACATAATTACCCAAAAATTAACGTTAATCAATTGAAAACCAAAAATCATTCTTTAACACAAATATAAGTCTATTTATCATGAGTTAAGGCTAAAACTATAATGTTTACTAATTATTAACTCATGATAATGAAGACTTATCACCCACGTTGTCTTTGTTCAAGGAGAGCCTTAGAAGCCGTGGACACTACACAACGATCCTCCCGAACACTTAGGATTTCGGTGCATCGCCGTATCGCCGTTGCGATGCCGGAACTCTATTTTCTTGCTTTCAACTTACTTTATGCTTCATTTAGTGATAATTTTTATATTTTTAATTTACCAAAATATACTCTATTTAATTATAATTCTTCAAGCTTTTACAAATCTTAATTTGATTAATTAAATCATTTGTAATCACATATGTAGGAATCACCAGACGGAACTCTATTTTCGCCCGATTTGCGTTTGTTGGGTGCTGACATCATCTTAACGTCTGCACTCTTATTTTCCTTTTTTGTGAATTTAAAATATATTTCCTTTTCATTTCCTAGTATAAAATTCATAGAAAATCGTATTCATTGAGAAAAATTCTGAATAATTACCAGATATTATATTAAATTCTTGTGACTGATCAAGAAAATTATCGCTATTTTTGGAAGTTTTATTGAATTATAATTGATATATTTGTTCAGAAATACTTTTAAATATCTAAAAAATCGTATTTTCTAATTTTATAAATTTTAGATTTGCGTGATTTAATATATAACGACTGAGTCACGTCAGCTCCCTATTTCTATTAAAATCGTGAGCTACTTATACTTGTTCTTGCATAGGGTGAAATGGTTGATCTGAATTATAGTATTAAAATTCAAAATAATCATTTTCACCATACATGGGACATGTACTATTTGAATTAAATTGAGGGTTAAAAGGCTTTATAATATTGTCAATAAGTAAATCATGTTTTTCTAATCTTTGATTAATTTGATTAACCTAATTTCGTAAATTAGAATTATTTTGATGATGTAAATCATAAATTCCTCTCTTCTTATCCCTGTCATATAATTCAAAAGAGGCTTGATCTCTAGAATTTTCACTTAAATTCTCATAAAGACTATAAGTCTCATCAAGGGTTTTCTCTATAAAAGCTTCTCCACATATAAAATAAACTATATTTCTATGTTATTTTAATAATCCATCATAAAAAAATTTATTGAGCTTCTAGTTGAGTATAGCATAATGAAGACATTTTCTAAGTAAATCTTTGAATTTTTCCCATGTCTCATGCAAAATTTCTCTTGGTCTTTGAGAAAATCTTTATATATGCTTTCTCATATTTTGAGTTTTTCTTAAGGGACAAAATTTTCGAAGAAAGACTTGTTCTATGTCTTTCTAGCTAGTTAATTCTCTATCTAATGTGGATAGCTAATGATTAGCTTTGTCGCTAACTGTATGAAGAAATAATTTCATCTTAATAATTTCTAGTGTAACTTGAGGGAGATTAACTAAATCACAGATCATATGAAATTTTTCTAAGTGCTGATGAGGTTCCTCTAAAGGCAATCCATGAAAATTAAGGAACATTTGAAAAATTCTTAGATTTATTTCGAATTTAATAGTGGGTGCTAATGGGACTCTAATATTGGACGTTCTTTCAAATAAATCAGGGGTATAATGATTTTTCATGGCCATAGGATTGTTCTCAATTTGACCTATACTTCCTTTAGGATCCACCAAAATTAATTTTTCTTTCAAATTTTTAGTTTTGAATGAAATAATGAAAGGATTTTCTAGCCTTGGATGCCAAGATCTTCTACCATACATAAAAAATAAATAAATTTGAGGAAAAATTTTAGTAATTGTTACCTTCCTTTAGTATGCTCCAGTCCTTGCCTTGCTTCTCTTCATTCCTTTTTTTTTCGAAACTTTTCGGTAAGGAGAAAATAAAATAAGAGTTGATTTTGTTTTGTATACTTTAAGAGAGAAACATAAAAATACTAAATATTAAGTAATACATCTCCAATAATAGTGCCAAAATTTGATGTGACTTAGTCGTTGTATAGTAAATCACACAAATTAAAAATTTCTAAAACTAGAAAATATTAATTTTCAAATATTTAGAAGTATTTCTGAACAAATATATCAATTATAATTCAATAAAACTTCCAAAAATAATGGTAATTTTCTAGTCAATCATAGGGATGTAATATAATATTAGGTAATTATTCAGAATTTTCTTCAAAGAATATGATTTTCTATAAATTTTATATTAGTAAATGAAAATATAATATATTTAATTTTTACAAAAAAGGAAAATAAGGGTGCAGATGTTAAGATGATGATGTGACTCAGTCGTTGTATATTAAATCACGCAAATATAAAATTTATAAAACTAGAAAATACGAATTTTCGGATATTTAGAAGTATTTCTAAATAAATATATCAATTATAATTCAATAAAAATTCCAAAAATAGCGGTAATTTTCTAGGTCAATTACAGGGATGTAATATAATATCTGGTAATTATTCAGAATTTTTCTCAATGAATAAGATTTTCTTACGAATTTTATACTAGGAAATAAAAAGGAAATATATTTAAAATTCCAAAAAAAAGAAAATAAGGGTGCGGGCGTCAAGATGACGTCAGCGCCCAGCGAACGCGAATCAGGTGGAAACAGAGTTCCGCCCGACGATTCTTACGTAAGCGATTACAAACGACTCAATTAATCAAATTAAGATCTGTAAAAGCTGGAAGAATCGTAATTGAATGAAATATAGTTTGGTAAATTAAAATCACACAAAGTATCACTAAATGAAGCGTAAATTAAATTGAAAGCAGGAAAACAGAGTTTCAGCGTCGCGACGGCGATGCGTCAGCGATGCACTGGAATCCTGAGCGTTCGGGAGGATCGTCGTGCAGTGTCCACGGCCTCGAAGGCTCTCCTTGGACAAAGACGATGTGGGCAATCTCTAGATCTTCTCGCGAAGTCTAGAGATCAATGAAGTGGGTTGTCGAATCGTCTCTAGCGGCTGTCACCCGGCGGAGCGGAAAAACGGCGACTTTGCGGCTCTCCGGCGGTTGTCACCCGACGGAGAGGAGCTGGATGGAGGTGGGGCGTGTGTCAGGGAGCTTCATCCTCAGGTCCGCGCAGCAAGAGGAGGCTCTTCATCGCATATGGTACGCTCTCAGGAGGTGGCAACTGGTCTCCCGGCGGATCGTCCTCTTCCCGACGACGGCTTGTTCGTTGTTCAATTGGAGATCATTTACTCGATGGATTCGCGATCCTTTTATCGCGAATCGTTCAGCAATTTTAGTAGCAATGCTCTGCGAATCGCGTTGACGAGATTTTCGCCGATGATCCTGTGATTCTCGTTGCTTAATCCTTCCCCGGCGATCTGCAGGAAAGTCGTGATAATCAGATAAAAATATATTGAATTTTGACTCTGGGAGGATTCGAACCCGCGCCGGTCGCCCGCCTCTTCTGAGGAAGGTGTGACGGGAGTTTAGTCCCACATCGGTTGTATGCCGATTTTTCGGGCAAATATATAGTCCCACATCCTTGCCCCACAGCCGGCTGGCCACTATTGACGTGGAAGGGGAGTGCCGTATGCGTGCCTTGTCGGTCCCCGAACCAAGCTGCTTGCGGGCCCGGCTGGCCGGCGAGTCCCCCTATTTTTGCAATTTTTTTATTTTTATTTCTTGTTCTTCATTTGTCTCAAAAGTAAGACTGTAAAAATCGTATAAAATCACATAATTACCCAAAATTTCACGTTAATCAATTGAAAACCAAAAGTCATTCTTTAACACAAATATAAGTCTATTTATCATGAGTCAAGGCTAAAACTATATTATTTACTAATTATTAACTCATGATAATGAAGACTTATCAGATGACATCAATGCTCGACGAAATCAAATCGAGCAAAAATAGAGTTCTACTCAGCGATTCTTATGTAAGCGATTAAAGATGATTTAATTGATCAAATTAAGATATGTAAAAGTTGAAAAAATCATCATTGAATGAAGTATAGCTTGGTAAATTTAAATCACATAAATTATCATCTAATGAAGTGGAAATTAAGTTGAAAGCAAGAAACTAAAGTTCTGGTGTCACAGCGGTGATGCGGCAATGATACACTAGAATCTTGAACGTTCGGGAGGATCATTATGCAATGTCCACGGTCTTGAAGGCTCTCTTTGGACAAGGATGATGTGGACAATCTCTAGATCTCTTTACGAAGTTGAGAGATCAATGAAATGGGTTGTCGAATTGTCCTGGTGGCTGTCACCTGGTGGAGTGGAAAAATGGTGACTTTATAGCTCTCTGGTGGTTGTCACCTGACAGAGAAGAGCTAGATGAAGGTAGGGCACGTGTTAGGGAACTTCATCCTCAGGTCTGTGTAGTAAGAGGAGCCTCTTCATCGAATCTAGTACGCTCTCAAGGGGTGGTGACTCGTCTCCCGGCGGACCGTCCTCTTTCCTACAATGGCTTGTTCGTTGATCAATTAGAGATGATTTACTTGATCGATTCGTGATCCTTTTATCACGAATCATTTTGTAATTTTAGTAACAATACTCTGCAAATCATGTTGATGAGATTTTTGCCGATGATCTAATGATTTTGGTGGCTTAATACTTCACCGACAATTAGGAAAGTCATGATAATTAGATAAAAATATGAATTAGGGCTCTAGGAGGATTCAAACTTGTGCTGATTGCTCGCCTATATGAGAGAGATTGAAATAACTAATCTAATGCCCTTATCAAGTGACATCATCATGATATATCTCTATTATAAATAAGGGGTATTTTAGGTATTAAAATCTTCGAAGCCTTTCGAAGGAAGATGTGATGTGGGTTTAGTCTCACAACGCTTGTGCGTCGAAGTTTTGGGTGAATGTATAGTAATATTAGATTTGCAAGTAATGAGTCTCTTTCTCCAGTGTGTATGATCACTCCTTGCCTTACAACCAATTGGCCATCGATGATGTGGAAGGGGAGTGGCGCACATATGCCCCCATTAGTCTTAGCTGCTCGAGCCCTTGCTTGTGGCTCCTCCTTGACTATGCTTTTGACCCACTTGTGGGCTCAACTGGCTGACGGGTCTGCCCCCGTTTTTCTATATTTTTATTTTTATTTCTTTTTCTTCATTTTATCTGAAAAATAAGACTATAAAAATCATATAAATTCATAAAAAATCACATAATTAGACAAAATTCATGTTAATCAACTAAAAACTAGTTTCATACTTTAACACAAATATAAGCCTTTTAATCATGAGTTAAGGCTAAAACTATATTATTTATTAATTATTAACTCATGATAATGAAGACTTATTACCTAGTAATCAGCAACTAACCTTAATGAACTTTGAGTGGCTTTAAATATAATAAGTCAGCCTAATACATGCCATATTGATTCAATTTATTGTGGGTAGATAGAGTAAAAAGTGGTTAAACACACTAATATGAGAAATATTGATAAACTAAATAATTATGTAAAATTTCTTAAAAGGATTCATAATAATCAATAAAAATAACTAATAGCCATTTGATGATAAATGATTGATGAGAAGATGGCTATTATGAGCATACCTCATTGAAATGACTCATTCAAGCTCCAATGTAATAGTTGAAAATGTTTCTTTGGAGAGAGGGTTGGTGAGGATCACATGAAATTGTTTATAAATTTTAATAAAGTTAATAGAAATATATCATTGATTAACATGATCTCTATTAAAGTGATATTTAAATTCTTTGTGCTCAATTCTACATGAAGGGGCTCTAGGTGATACTTGTAATAAAGTTAGAAAGGCAAGCTATATGAAATCTGTCATGTAAAGAATTTGGCGAAGTTAAGTTTTACTTATATAAAGGAGAATATTGAAAATCAATAGGGACCATTGAATAGTGAACATGGGCCAAGGAAAGGTTAACAATTATAAATTTCTATGTTCAACACATATGAGATATTACTATGATAGTCAAATAAAGTTATTGTATCATCTTAATATATCAATTCATCCAACCAATATGTGTCTACATGCATTAGTTTATATTGACTCAACACCTATTGTGTCACCATCAATTTTGATATATAATCTAATCAAAATAGGAACTAACATTATCTTCTTTCAAACTATCAAGAAATTGGCTGAGGAAATTCAACTGGCCAATTTTTTCATATTCCTCTTAAAAAGATAGTTATGGTCTATTGAAACTTTGCTTGTTTTTCTTTTGGATCCAATGCTTTGTCTATAATTTTTTTTGCTTGTCTTGAGAAGGTGCAACCAATCTAAGACACCTAAAGGATGCAGGAAGATGGAAACTTATGAGCTATGACTATGCTGGGTACTAAAGAGTAGAAAATATTGCTCTATGTGAAGAAGATATCTATGTAGTGCAAATTTCTTGAATTTTGCTTGATCTATGGTTGATGTAGAGCCAAGCTTGGGGGTGAGCAGTGTGAAATTTCTGCTTTTCTCAAAACATCAGTTCATGATAGGGATAATTAATTTATGGAAGAGCATGTGTAATTCTAAAATGGTGATGATAGATATTAAAAATTAATCTCTTAAAAAAAAAGGTGAATGATCAACAAAAAAGCGATTCCCCTTAACAAATGCACATAGTATAGTCTGAAATGTGGCTTATCAGCTTATTTTGACACTCTAGGCATTAAAGGAAATCAGATTAATTGGTGAAATAAAAACAACTTTCCCATTATCCTTAATGATAACATGCACTCTTATCATGCATTTACACTTATTTACTATCATTTAGTGCATTAAATTGATATAAATAATTTATGTTACCATTTAATTCTTGCATATTTTGATCATTCATGCATAAATATATATTTTGATATTTTGATATTATTTTAAGATAAAAAAATTTAAAGAATTATGAATGAAATATTTTGATGTGAGTTCTAGAACTTTCTAGAATTTATTCTGGATTTTTTGAAAATTTATGGAATTTCTTATAATTTGTAGGATTTTATAGATATTTTTAGATATTTTATAGGAATTAATAAAGGCAGAAAATAAAAGAAAATCGAAACAGGCCAGGGCTGGGCCAAACCAGGTGGGCCAAGCCAAGTGACTTGACGAGCTGGAATAATAAGAGGCTGGCCATAGAATTGTCAATGGGTTGGTGACAAAAGTGGAATTGATAGGTTAATAGTGAAAGTAGAATCGACAGGTTGGCCTGAGACTTACATGGATGTGGTGTACGTGGTGCATGCAATTTCAATGGACTATTGCCGACGTGACATGATCTCTGATGTTCAATCAAAATCGAATAGAGATCTCCTTTTAAACCCACCCCTATGCAAACATACTCTCTTTTCCTATTTGTTCAAAAACAAATGAGAATTATTGACCGACAACCTTTGTTCCATTTCAATGTGTAATAGTTTGGTACCATTGGAAATTTCTTGAAGAGACGATTCAATTGATACAAACTATTCACAATTTGGCTAGTTATTGAGAATGCAATCTCTGTTGTTGTGGAAATACTTATAAAGTCTTTAATCAGGCACACATTTGATCATTCTAGTGGTAGTCTAGATTAGTGTGAGGCTTGCCTAATAATTAAGACTAATCTAGATAGATTTATTTCCATTCTACTTGTTTCAACCATCAGATTTAGAGAATTTTACCGTTAATGATATATTTCCTCATTTTTCCTCTTTCCAACAACCGATTTTCAATCAATTGGTGATTTTTGTTATCTTCTTTGATCTCATTCTTTAATCCTTATAGTTTTCTTCTTACTTCATCAACCAATTTTATTTCAATGGCACGAATCGCATGCTCCTTGTGGATTGACCTCGAACTTGCTGTCATATTTAATCTTTCATAGTTTAATCGGTAAAATTTGGGTTTATAAATATTTTAATCGATTACGTTTGAGGTATTTCAACAACCCTCAATCATGTTTTATCACTTAACATACTATGAAATAACTTTATTTTACTTTCCGATAGAGGATTATCTATGGGTTTTCTTTAATTTGTACCAAAGCTATTTCCCCTCTGACTATTTTTTTCTTTAGTTTGAAATTTTCTCAGTAAATCTAGTTGATTTCTTTCTCGATTATTTATTTGCTGTTCTATCTCTATATATTTTAATGATTGAACGTATTTAGGACTATCTCATTCAGAAATTAGGATTCTGCAAATTTATTCCTTAGTTCCCTTTTAGATCTTCCTCACCTTGTTGGTGAAAGGGGGCCAAGTTTTGGAGGGTCTGTTGTAGAGGCCTTCTCCGCTTGATGAACTTTTACCGGTATTAGGTGGAAGTCTTGTCAGGTGGGTGGTCGATCATTTTCGAATTCTATCGAATCAGACGAGATGATGGGACGGGGAATCCTCGGTTTTCTCGTTCTTCCGGTCACCATATGCCTGTGCTGGGGCGGTTTTTTCTTATGGTGGAGCGCCGGCAACTAGCGCCATAAGAAAAAGAACTCTGCCTTTCTGTCATGGTCCACCCAAGATGATGGGTGTCTGTGGAATGAGCTGTCCGGTATAATTAAATGTATATAAGAAACATCTTTCTCATTAGCCTGACTCAAAAATATTTTTATTTAACTTTCAATAGAGGACTAGGCTGTTGGTGTAATTCTATGGGTTGTCTTTTCTTTAAACTGAAGGTATTTCTCTGACCATTTTTTCCCCCAAGTTTGGAAATTTACCAGTATATCTAGTTGCCTCCTTTTTCGAGTGTTTCTTTACTGTTATGTCTCTCTATGTTTTAAATATTTATATATAAATATGTATGATATCTTATCTTCATTAATGACGCCAGAACGCTCATACATAAATTAAGTCAAAAACTTATTACTTCACGAAAGGTGGGCTAGGAAAGACAAGAAACAGGTCAACTTTTAAACACCACGTGTTCCTAGATTTTTAATAAGATTGTTATAAATGGTAAAAATTTCCCTTCCTAGTGCATGAAAATTCTTTCAAGTAACCAGATGTATAGGCTTGATGTACAATTGACTTTGGTTTACAGCGTCTCAGATCAAGACCAAGCAGTGAAGCTATAATACCGAGTCAAAGCTTCCTAATAAAGCTTTGATTTTTCCATGATCTCGTGTTATTTTTTAATTAAATAGAAAAATATTATTGTACTGTACAACATTAAATATTAGATAGGACGATCTATAGGCAAGCCTTCTATTCTCCAAAATCAATGTTGCGAAGTACACAATGCGTGACATCAATTCTATATTGTTGTCTCATCTAACGGAATTTATTGCGACACGTTGTGGGCCAGCATTTGGTATAATTCAGATGTTGACATAATGGAAACCAGCGGAGAACAAGATGTCACGCGTCGGATGTGTGAGGAGCCGGTTGATTGCTTGGGATCGCACAAGCTTCTCTGATTGGAAATCAAGCCTGCTCGTTATATCCTCTGATATTTCCCAGGGCGCAAGGATCACAGGAGGAAGAAGAAGAGTATGTTCCGAACTACGATGGCTTCTTCCTTGTCGTTCAATGCAGGGGGGCTGCCGGTTCTGCCTCTGCCCGGAAGCTACGGTCCGCCGCTGCTCGGCCCGCTCAAGGACCGCCTTGACTATTTCTGGTTCCAGGGATCGGAGACCTTTTTCCGGCAACGCGCCGCCACCTACAAGAGCACCGTCTTCCGCACCAACATGCCCCCCACATTCCCCTTCCTCACCAAAAAGATCGACCCCCGCGTGATTGCCGTTGTCGACTGCGCCGCCTTCCCGGCACTCTTCGACCTTTCCCTGGTAGAAAAGAGGGACGTTCTCATCGGAGACTTCATGCCCAGCACAGATTTCACCGGCGGCATGCGAGTGATGGTATACATGGACCCCTCCGAGCAAAAGCACAACGCCGGGAAAGCCTTCTGCCTCGATCTTCTCAAACGGAGAGCTCGCATTTGGGTGTCGGAGTTCCTCCTCAGCACCGATGTCATGCTGACGACGATTGAGAAGGAATTGTCCGGGAGCGACACCCGTTGCGCTGGATTGCTGGTTCCCCTGCAGAAGTGCATCTTCTCCTTTTTGTGCAAGAGTTTGGCAGGGGCCGACCCGGCGACCTGTCCTGAGATCGCCGACTGTGGCTTTGCCATGCTGGACAAGTGGCTCTCTCTGCAGATCCTTCCCACCACCAGTATCGGGGTCCTCCAGCCGCTGGAGGAAATTTTCCTCCACTCATTTGCCTACCCATTCGCCCTCGTGAAGGGCAACTACCAGAAGCTCTACGACTTCCTGGAGAAGGAAGGTGGTGAGGTCATTGGAATGGCCACCAGCGAGTACAGTCTCACCAAGGAAGGGGCGATCCACAACCTCCTTTTCATCCTGGGGTTCAACGCCTTCGGGGGTTTCTCCGTCTTCCTCCCGACATTAATCACCACCCTTGGGAGAGACACCACTGGACTCCAGGGCCGCCTCCGCGCCGAGGTCCGCCGGGTGCTGGCCAGAGGGCGCCAGCTTGGGTTCGACACGGTCAAGGAGATGGAACTTGTTCAGTCCACGGTGCACGAGGTCCTCCGCATGAACCCGCCAGTCTTCCTACAGTACGGCCGGGCTAGGAAAGACTTCCTCCTGAGCTCCCACGAGGCCTCCTTCCAAGTGAGGACAGGCGAGCTACTCTGTGGCTACCAGAAGCTGGCGATGAGGGATCCGAAGGTGTTCGACGATCCGGAGACCTTCAACCCGGATAGGTACATGGGCGAAAAGGGCAGGCGGTTGCTGGACTACCTCTACTGGTCCAACGGTCCGCAGACGGCCACCCCATCCACGGCTAACAAGCAGTGTGCTGCCAAGGATTACGTGGTGTTCACCGCCTGCCTCCTGGTGGCGGAGATCGTCCGCAGGTATGATGACTTCCGCTGCGACGGAAGCTCCCTCTCCGTCACCAAGCTGGAAAAGGCGGCTGCGTCGGCGGTGCCAGGCCCCGAGCTAGCGGGGAGCACCCGCAGATAGATAGTAGCGAAGGGCACTTCGATGCAATTCAACATTACAAGAGACTCTACGTTTCGTTATGTTATGCAGTCAGAGGAAAATAAGTCTACCGTACCTTTTCGCAACGGGCGTTATGTTATGCAGGGAGCTGTACTTTTCGCAACTGACGCGTTTCCAGCTACCCGATCTCTATCCAATTAATGCATTCTATTATTGAGCAGTATGGCCAATGATATAGATCTGTCGGCAGACATATCTTATAAAATAATAAAATGATTGATTTTGTGGGTCACCGGCTGGGCCCACTGATAAGTCCTCATTATCATGAGTTAATAATTAGTAAATAATATAGTTTCAGCCTTAACTCATGATAAATAGACTTATATTTGTGTTAAAGTATGATTTTTGGTTTTCAATTGATTAACGTGAATTTTTGGGTAATTATGTGATTTTATACGATTTTTACAGTCTTACTTTTGAGATAAATGAAGAACAAGAAAGAAAAATAAAAATATTGCAAAATGGGGGAATCCGCCGGCCAGCCGGGCCCGCAAGCGGGTCGGAAGCGCAGTCTGGGAGATGCCGCGAGCAGGGGCTCGAGTGGCTTAGCAGCTTGGAGCGGGAGGGCACGTGTGGGCCACTGCCGTTCCACGTCACCGATGGCCAGCCGGCCGTGGGGCAAGGAGTGGTCGTACACGCAAGAGAAGGAATTTTGATGGCAACTAAGATTACTATATATTCGCTCGAAAAATCGGCGCACAACCGATGTGGGACTAAACCCGCGTCACACCTTCCTCAGAGGCGGGCGATCGGCGCGGGTTCGAATCCTCCCAGAGTCAAAATTCAATATATTTTTTATCTGATTATCGCGACTTTCCTGCAGATCGTCGGTGAAGGATTAAGCAACAATAATCGCTGGATCATCAGCGAAAATCTCGTCAACGCGATTCGCGGAGCATTGCTACTAAAATTGCTGAACGATTCGCGATAAAAGGATCGCGAATCCATCGAGTAAATGATCTCCAATTGAACGACGAACAAGCCGTCGTCGGGAAGAGGACGATCCGCCGGGAGACCAGTCGCCACCTCCTGAGAGCGTACCGGATGCGATGAAGAGCCTCCTCTTGCTGCGCGGACCTGAGGATGAAGCTCCCTGACACGCGCCCCACCTCCATCCAGCTCCTCTCTGTCGGGTGACAGCCGTCGGAGTGCCGCAAAGTCGCCGTTTTTCCGCTCTGCCGGGTGACAGCCACCGGAGACGATTCGACAACCCACTTCATTGATCTCTAGGCTTCGCGAGAAGATCTAGAGATTGCCCACGTCGTCTTTGTCCAAGGAGAGCCTTTGAGGCCGTGGACACTGCACGACGATCCTCCCGAACGCTCAGGATTCCGGTGCATCGCCGACGCATCGCCGTCGCGACGCCGGAACTCTGTTTTCCTGCTTTCAATTTAATTTACGCTTCATTTAGTGATACTTTGTTGATTTTAATTTACCAAACTATACTTCGTTCAATTACGATTCTTCCGGCTTTTACAGATCTTAATTTGATTAATTGAGTCGTCTGTAATCGCCTACGTAAGAATCGCCAGGCGGAACTTTGTTTCCGCCTGATTCGCGTTCGCCGGGCGCTGACGTCATCTTGACGTCCGCACCCTTATTTCCTTTTTTTTCGTGAATTTTAAATATATTTCTTTTTTATTTCCTAGTATAAAATTCGTAAGAAAATCGTACTCATTGAGGAAAATTCTGAATAATTACCATATATTATAATACATCCCTGTGATCGACCTGGAAAATTACCCCTATTTTTGGAATTTTTATTGAATTATAATTGATATATTTATTTAGAAATACTTCTAAATATCCAAAAATTCGTATTTTCTAGTTTTATAAATTTAATATTTGCGTGATTTAATATACAACGACTAAGTCACGTCACCCACCAAATCAGAGATCCATGTACGAGTAACAGTATTAGTATAAGACAAAAGGAGAGAGAGAAAATAATAAAATGACAAAGGAAATAGGTATGCGACTGACGTGACTCAGTCGTTGTATGTTAAATCACGCAAATCTAAAATTTATAAAACTAGAAAGTACGAATTTTTGGATATTTAGAAGTATTTCTAAATAAATATATCAATTATAATTCAATAAAAATTCCAAAAATAGAGGTAATTTTCCAGGTCGATCACAGGGATGTATTATAATATATGGTAATTATTCAGAATTTTTCTCAATGAGTACGATTTTCTTACGAATTTTATACTAGGAAATAAAAAATAAATATATTTAAAATTCACGAAAAAAAAGGAAATAAGGGTGCGGACGTCAAGATGACGTCAGCACCCGGCGAACGCGAATCAGGCGGAAACAAAGTTCCGCCCGGTGATTCTTACGTAGGCGATTACAGACGACTCAATTAATCAAATTAAGATCTGTAAAAGCCAGAAGAATCGTAATTGAACGAAGTATAGTTTGGTAAATTAAAATCAACAAAGTATCACTAAATGAAGCGTAAATTAAATTGAAAGCAGGAAAACAGAGTTCCGGCGTCGCGACGGTGATGCGTCGGCGATGCACCGGAATCCTGAGCGTTCGGGAGGATCGTCGTGCAGTGTCCACGACCTCAAAGGCTTTCCTTGGACAAAGACGACGTGGGCAATCTCTAGATCTTCTCGCGAAGCCTAGAGATCAATGAAGTGGGTTGTCGAATCGTCTCCGGTGGCTGTCACCCGGCAGAGCGGAAAAACGGCGACTTTGCGGCACTCCGACGGCTGTCACCCGACAGAGAGGAGCTGGATGGAGGTGGGGCGCGTGTCAGGGAGCTTCATCCTCAGGTCCGCGCAGCAAGAGGAGGCTCTTCATCGCATCCGGTACGCTCTCAGGAGGTGGCGACTGGTCTCCCGGCGGATCGTCCTCTTCCCGACGACGGCTTGTTCGTTGTTCAATTGGAGATCATTTACTCGATGGATTCGCGATCCTTTTATCGCGAATCGTTCAGCAATTTTAGTAGCAATGCTCCGCGAATCGCGTTGACGAGATTTTCGCCGATGATCCAGCGATTATCGTTGCTTAATCCTTCACCGACGATCTGCAGGAAAGTCGCGATAATCAGATAAAAATATATTGAATTTTGACTCTGGGAGGATTCGAACCCGCGCCGATCGCCCGCCTCTTCTGAGGAAGGTGTGACGGGGGTTTAGTCCCACATTGGTTGTACGCCGAGTTTTTGGGCGAATATATAGTAATGTTAGCTTTGTGAGCAAAGTCCCTTCTCTCGCGTGTACGACCAGTCCTTGCCCCACAGCCGGCTGACCACCGGTGACGTGGAAGGGGAGTGGCGTACGCGTGCTAGACGGTCCCAAGTCAAGCCGCTCGAGCCCCCCTGCTTGTGGCTTACTCTCCGACTGCGCTTCCGACCCGCTTGCGGGCACGGCTGGCCGGCGGGTCCTCTCATTTTTGCAATATTTTTATTTTTATTTCTTGTTCTTCATTTATCTCAAAAGTAAGACTGTAAAAATCGTATAAAATCACATAATTACCCAAAAATTGACGTTAATCAATTGAAAACCAAAAATCATTCTTTAACACAAATATAAGTCTATTTATCATGAGTTAAGGCTAAAACTATATTATTTACTAATTATTAACTCATGATAATGAAGACTTATCAGGTGACAACCGTCGGAGTGCCGCAAAGTCGCTGTTTTTCCACTCTGCCCGGTGACAGCCACTAGAGACGATTCAACAACCCACTTCATTGATCTCTAGACTTTGCGAGAAGATCTAGAGATTGCCCACATCATCTTTGTCCAAAGAGAGCCTTCGAGGCCATGAACATTGCAAGATGATCCTCCCAAACACTCAAGATTCCGGTGCATCGCCGACGCATCACCGTCGTGACACTAGAACTCTGTTTTCCTACTTTCAATTTACTTTACACTTCATTTAGTGATAATTTTTGTGTTTTTAAGTTACCAAAATATACTTTGTTCAATTATGATTCTTCTAACTTTTACAGATCTTAATTTGATTAATTAAATCATTTGTAATTACTTACGTAAGAATTGACGGGTGGAACTCTATTTCTACTCGATTTGCGTCTGCCGGGCGCTGGCATCATCCCGACATCTGCACCCTTATTTTCTTTTTTTCATAAATTTTAAATCTATTTCCTTTTTATTTTCTAGTATAAAATTTATAGAAAATCGTATTCATTGAGAAAAATTCTGAATAATTACCAGATATTATATTATATCCCCGTGATCGACCTGGAAAATTATCGCTATTTTTGTGTGATTTAATATACAATGATTGAGTCATGTCACGTATCAATATGTATGATCAACCCAGGACAACCCGAGGAAACATTCGATGATGGTAAGTGTGAGGCCCTCTCGGTCCACGTCCGGACAAATGGTGGAACAGTTGTTGTGAGGTAGCCTAGGGCTGCAGCTCACGAATGGTGGTGAATCTGTGTAGCATCGGAAGTCACGATCCGATAACTGTCCTATCTTGTCTACGTTCTCTTGATGGCGGAGGAGACGAGCCAAGAAAACCCTTCGAGAGATAATTAAACTTAAGAGGAAGGGGTACATAGCTAACCTTTGGGGCTGCGTAGCCCGGCGGGTTGTGACGGAGCAGAGATTCGATGAAGGCAGAGACGTCTGGTGAAGAGCGATGCTCAGCGTCGACGGTCAGTCTTGGTCGAGAGTCACGGAAGTCGTTGTCTTAGGGCGTGGCACAATCGGCATGGGCGTGGGCCTGCAGGAGGGCCAAAGGGCACGCTAGCGGGCGTGGGCCCGCTGGTGGGCCGAAGGGCACACTAGGGGGTGCACACGGCAAGCCGCGCAGTGTGCCCTACGGCATGCGGGCAGTGGCGCCAGGTGGGCACGCGGGCTGCAAGAGTCGGCGCATGGGGCACACGCGGTGGCAGCGCTTCAGCGGGAAGGCTGAGCGTCTGCAGCGCTTCGGTAGGAATGCCAAGTGTCAGTGGCACTTCGGCGGGAATGCCAAGCGTCGACGTTCGGCGGGAAGGCCGAGTGTCAGTGGCACTTCGGCAGGAATGCCGAGCGTTAGTGGCGCTTCAGCGAGAATGCCGAGCATCAGCGGTTGGGCGGAGACCCAACCGTTGCCGGAAGGATCAGCCTCTCTAGCGGCGCCGGGAAGCGGAGCAGAGAGGAGACGATCCGGCCGACGATACTAGGGAGGGTTGAGCTCTCTTGGTCTAAGCAGTGCCGAAAATGGCACGACGGCAGCAGAGCGTCGGGAAACTCCGGCGGGGGCCTGTGCGGAGCTTGGACTGGTTCTGGCTCGTCGGCACGGCTGCAGGGTCTCTTCTGACATCAGCGGCAGGTTGGCGTTCATCAGCGAACAGCCAGCGATTGGGCGGAGCGGCGGAGGGCGGCTCCGGCGAGTTTATGGTGGAGTTCCAGAGGAAGAGGTGGCAGATGAACCAGGAGTCGAGAGACTCCGGCAGAGTGCTCGGCGACGGCTTGTAGGGAGGCGAAGCGAGCCCCTTCTGTCATGATGGCGTGACGGGGTTCCAGCAGAGGCGGCGGTGGTTGCAGCGGCAACTGCGACCATTTTGTCTGGTGACGGCGGCAAACTCCTAGGCGGCAATGAGATGGCCAGTGGTGGCAGTGGTCTCAAGCGGCGGCGAGACTTCTCAGACAGCAGCGTCATGAGGAACGAAGTCCTCGAAGGGGGTATCCGGCCTTCCTCTTCCTCCTTCCCTCCCTATCCTAGATCACGGAGAAGGTACTCACAAAACGATAATTTCTCTCAAAAATACGGCGCCCCCTTGAGGGGGGGTCCTACCTCCCCTTATATGGGCCCACTTGAGGCCCTCAAGCCCATAAAACACAAAGGCTACAAAAGGAGAAAGAGGAGGGCCTCTTACGGTGCTTAAGTGGGCCTCAAATGAAGACCCAAATAAGCCCCAAAAGAGGCCCCAAAGGAAAGACACATAGGTCCCCCCCCCTTAGGGTTTTTATTGGGCCTCAAAAGAGAGACCCAATAAAAACCCTAAAGAAAGGGAGACACAAACAACAACACACACATAGAATTGGGCCTGCTAACACACAAATGTGAGGCCCAACAAGTCAACGTGAAAGTACAAAGAAAGATACGAGTGAGCTCGAGCTTGTCGTCGTTGCGAAGGTGGAATGTTGTCGTCCTGAAGGGCTAGGCCATGTAGCAAAAGCCAGGCTCCTTCGTCTTTGCGTGTCGATTGGGTTGAACTCAGACTGCCAGTGTCTCCTGAGCTGATGGAGACGGGTCCCGTTCGCCATCATGCACACGTGCCCCTATCGGTCCAAGTTGCTTGAGCCCTTGCTTGCAGCTACTCCTCAACTAAGCTTCCGACCCGCTTGCGGGCTCGACTGGCCGGTAGGTCCCCCTCGTTTTGTCTTGTTTTTATTTTTAATTTCTTTTTCTTCATTCATCGCAAAAGCAAGACTATAAAAATCATATAAATTCATGTACAATCATATAATTATCTAAAAATTTACATTAATCAACTGAAAACCACTTTTTACACTTTAACACAAATATAAGTCTATTTATCATGAGTTAAGGTTAAAACTATATTATTTACTAATTATTAACTCATAATAATAAAGATTTATCACCCATCTCCATCCAACTCCTCTCTGTCAGGTGATAGCCGCTGGAGAGTCGCAAATCGCTGTGATCAACTTGGAAAATTCATAGAAAATAGTATTCTTTGAAAAAAATTCTAAATAATTACCAGATATTGTATTATGTTCTTGTGATCAACTTGGAAAATTACCACTATTTTTGAAAGTTTTATTGAATGATAATTGATATACTTGTTCATAAATACTTCTAAATATCTAATAATTTGTATTTTCTAATTTTGTAAATTTTAAATTTGCGTGATTTACTATACAACGACTAAGTCACGTCACCCACTAGGCCCGCAAGTGGGTCAGAAGTGCAGTCGAGAAGAAACCATGAGCAAGGGCTCGAGCGACTAGGATTGATAGGGACATGTGTGCACCACTCCCTTTCCACATCACTAGTGGCCAGCCGACTATGGGGCAAAGAGTGGTCGTACATGTGTGAGAAAGGGAATTGATCGAAAATGTAATATTACTAGATATTCATCAAAAAGGTCAGCGCACAACCGATGTGGGATTAAACCTGCATCACACCTTCCTTAGAAAGGGGCATGCAACTAGCGTGGGTTTGAATCTTTCCAAACCCAAAACTCATATTTTTTATCTAATTATCGTGACTTTTCTGCAAATCGCTAGTGAAGAATTAAGCAACCAGAATCACTAGATCATCGGTGAAAATCTCATCAATGCGATTTGCAGAGCATTAGTACTAAAATTGCTAAATGATTCATGATAAAAGGATCCAAAATCCATCAAGTAAAGGATCTCCGACTGATCGACAAACAAGCCATCGTCGGGAAGAGGACGATCCACTAGGAGATGAGTTGCCACATCTTGAGAGCATACCAAATGTGATGAAGAGCCTCCTCTTGTTGCATGGACCTAAGGATGAAGCTCCCTAACACACGCCCTCTCTCTATCTAACTCTTCTCCATCGGGTAACAGCCGTCGGAGAGCCATAAAGTCACTATTTTTTTGCTCTACTGGGTGACAGTCATCAGAGATGATTCGACAACTTATTTCATTGATCTCTAGACTTCAGAAAGAGATCTAGAGATTGGCCATGTTGTCTTTGTCCAAGAAGAGCCTTCAAGGCCGTGGACATTGTATGCTGATCTTCCCGAATGCTTAGGATTTTGGTGCATCGTCGACACATCACCGCCACGACATCGGAACTCTATTTGCCTACTCTCAACTTAATTTTTATTTCATTTAGTGATAATTTACTAATTTTAAATTTACCAAGATATACTTCATTCTATACGATTCTTTTAGCTTTTACAAATCTTAATTTGATTAGTTAAATCGTCTATAATCGTTTATGTAAGAATTGTTGAGTGGAACTCTGTTTCCATTCAATTTGTATTTGCTAGGTGCTGACATCATCTTGACGTCCACACCCTTATTTCTCTTTTTTGTGAATTTTAAATATATTTCTTTTTCATTTCCTAGTATACAATTCATAGAAAATAGTATTCTTTGAGAAAAATTTAGAATAATTACCAGATGTTATATTACATCCCTGTGATTGACTTGGAAAATATCTTTATTTTTAGAAGTTTTATTGAATTATAATTGATATATTTGTTTATAAATATTTCTAAATATCTAAAAATTCATATTTTCTAGTTTTATAAATTTTAAATTTGTGTGATTTACTATACAATGACTAAGTCACGTCAAATTTTGGTGCCATTGCTGGGGATGCATTGCATAATATTTAGTATTTTTTTATTTTTCTCTTAGAGTACACAAAAAAATTAACTCTTATTTTATTTTCTTCTTGTGAAATTTTTTTTTAAAAAAAGGAAATGAAGAGAAACAAGACAAGAACTAGAGCATATTGAAGGAGGGTAAGAATTACTAAACTTTTTTCTCTAATTTATTGATTTTTTTATGCATGGTAGAAGATCCTTGCATCCAAGGCTAGAAAATCCTTTCATTATTTCATTCAAAACAAAAAATCTGAAAGGAAAATTAATTTTGATAGATCTTGAAGGAAGTATAGGTCAAACTGAGAACAATCCTATGGCCATGAAAAATTATTATATCCTTGAGCATCCAATATTAGAGTCTCATTAGCACCCACTATTAAATTCGAAATAAATCTAATTTTTTTTCAAATGCTCTCTAATTTTCATGGATTGCCTTTAGAGGAACCTCATCAGCACTGAAAAAAATTTCATATGGTCTATGATTTAGTTAGTCTCTATCAAGTTACATCAGAAATTATTAAGATAAAATTATTCCCTCATACACTTAGGGACAAAGCTAGTCATTGGCTATCCACATTAGATACAAAATCAACTAGCTAGAAAGACATAGAATAGGGCTTTTTTCAAAAATTTTATCCCTTAGAAAAAACTTAAAATATGAGAAAACATATATGGAGTTTTTCTTAAAGATTAGAAGAAACTTTACATGAGACATGGGAAACAGTCAAAGATTTACTTATAATGTGTCCTCATCATGCTATACCCAAGTGGCAGCTCAATAGAATTTGTTATGATGGATTATTAGAACAACATAGAAATATGGTTGATTCTATATCTAGAGGAGCTTTTATGGAGAAAACTCCTAATGAGATTTACAATATTTATGAGAATTTAAGTAAAAATTTTAGAGATCAAGCCTCTTTTGAATTATATGATACGTATAAGAAGAGAGGAATTTATGAATTGCATCATGATGATGACTCTAACTTTATAAATGATGTTAATCAGATTAATTAAAGATTAAAAAAACTTGATTTACATATTGAGAATATTAGAAAGCCTCCTAACCTTCAATTGAATGCATATAGTACTTGTGCTATGTATGGTGAAAATGATCATTTCGAATTTCAATATCATCTTAGGCAAGAACAAGTACAAGTATCCCACGATTTTAGTAAAAATAGAAAATATTTTTCTAATTCTTATAATCTTAATTGGGGGAATCATTTTTCTTTGAGAAACTCAAATAATATTTTAAATCCAGAAGTACTTATATCCAATTCAAAATTTGAATTTCATCCAAAATAAGAACACAGATTTCAGAAAATTCAGCCCTCTTAAATCCAACCTGATGCTATAAAAATGATGCATAAAGTGAGCCAAATGATGTAACAAACTATGAATCAAATGATATTACACTAAAAATAAATTATAGAGGCTTTTGAGAATAGGAGAGAAGAGGGACAGCCACCCAATCAGCCCATAGAAATTTCAAGAAACTATCTAACAATAGGATTTCAGCAAGGAGAGTCTAGTTGAATAAATTTAGAAAAAAACCTACAAAATGAAAATGTTAGGATAGTGAATACATTGAGTTAGAATATTTTACTTGGTCCTTATTTCTAATTATTAGAAGAAATAGATGAGCCATTAGAAGTAAATGAGAATATTAAGATTGAAAATATAGTAGTAGAAAATTTGAATAAAATCATTTATTACTCATAATTGATGAATGAATATAGTGAGGATGATGAGGAGAAAGAGTCCTTAGATGAAGAAACAGCAGGTGATCATGGAAAAATTATCTAAATTTAGTAGAAGGGAGTAAGGATAGAAATGAAGAAAAACATATTTTAGATGAGGAAAAATCAGTTGATTTGGGAGATGTATGAGATGAAATTAATAAATCTAATCATAATTTTGCAGCGATGGATGTTGATAGTGAGGATGATGATGTATATCATATACCAAAATTAAAAGATAGCTCTTGGGAAGATGAAGAATTTGATGAGTTGAGAAACGAAAAGCTTGAAAAAGAGTTGATTCAACTAATAGAGAGAAACAAAAATAATGGATATGAATATAGAGATAATTTTGGAGGAGAAAATTTGAATTTTACTGAATTCATTAGATCTGAGATTAAAGAAGACAATCCTTCCATCCTTCAAAACTCACAGACCATTAGAATTATTTCTAAGCTTGAAATATTTCACTCCTCGCAAATTGAACAAATATGTATGGAAGATTAAATGGAGCAGGGGAAGATTATGCAGATAAAAGAAGACATTAATAAATGGATGAATAAAAGAATTAGAGATATCAATTTAGATGAAAAAATTCTAGATTGAGTAAGAGCTAATTTGAAAATTATATGGCTTGATCACATTTTATGGTATATTAATATACAGTATTTATTAATAAATGAGAGACTTACAAAATAAGTTAGAAATGAGGAAAGATTCTTTTCAAAATAGAAATATTCTTTTTGGGAGAATTTTGTTAATTTCCATTTTGTTTTGGCTGAAAGTATGTCAAGGTATATATATGAAGTATATGAATTCATGCTAAATCTGAAAAAGAATATCATGAAACCTACCTTGGGATATAAATATATTTTGATGGCTGACATGACTCAATCATTGTATATTAAATCACGCAAATATAAAATTTATAAAACTAGAAAATAAAAATTTTCAGATATTTAGAAGTATTTCTAAATAAATATTCAATTATAATTCAATAAAACTTCCAATAATATCTGGTAATTATTCAGAATTTTTCTCAATGAATATGATTTTCTATGAATTTTATACTATGAAATAAAAAGGAAATATATTTAAAATTCACGAAAAAAGGGAAATAAGGGTGTGGACATCAGGATGACGTTAGCGCCCGGCGGACGTGAATCGGGCGGAAATAGAGTTCCGCCTAAAGATTCTTGCATAAGCAATTATAGACGATTTAATTAATCAAATTAAGATTTGTAAAAGCCGGAAGAATCGTAATTGAACAAAGTATATTTTGGTAACTTAAAAACACAAAAATTATCACTAAATGAAGCGTAAAGTAAATTGAAAGTAGGAAAACAGAGTTCCGGCGTCACGATGGCGATGCGTCGGTGATGCACCGGAATTCTAAGCATTCAGGAGGATCATTGTGCAGTGTCCACAGCCTCGAAGGCTCTCCTTGGACAAAGATGACGTGGGCAATCTCTAGATCTTCTCGCAAAGTCTAGAGATCAATGAAGTGGGTCATTGATAAGTCTTCATTATCATGAGTTAATAATTAGTATATAATATAGTTTTAGCCTTAACTCATGATAAATAGACTTATATTTGTGTTAAAGTATGATTTGTGGTTTTCAGTTGATTAACGTGAATTTTTGGGTAATTATGTGATTTTATATGAGTTTTATAATCTTACTTTTGAGATAAATGAAGAACAAGAAATAAAAAATATTGCATAATGAGGGGACCCGCCGGCCAGCCGGGCCTACAAGCAGGTCGGAAGCACAGTCGGAGAGTAGCTGTGAACAGGGGCTCGAGTGGCTTGGCTTGGACTGATATGGGCATGTGTGCGCCACTCCCCTTCCATGTCACTAGTGGTTAGCTAGCTGTGGGGCAAGGAGTGGTCATACACGCGAGAGTAGTGACTTTGCTTATAAAGCTAACATTATTATATATTCGCTCAAAAAATCAGTGCACAACCGATGTGAGACTAAACCCGCGTCACACCTTCCTCAAAGGCAGGCGACCGGCGAGGGTTCGAATCCTCCCAAAGTCAAAATTTATATATTTTTATCTAATTATTGCGACTTTCCTATAGATCACCAGTGAAGGATTAAGCAACGAAAATTATTGGATCATCGACGAAAATCTCGTCAACACAATTCGCAGAGCATTGCTACTAAAGTTGCTGAACGATTTACAATAAAAGGATCGCAATCCATTGAGTAAATCATCTCCGATTGATCGACGAACAAGCCGTCGTCAGGAAGAGGACGATCTACCGGGAGATGAGTCGCCACCTCTTGAGAGCATACCAGATGTGATGAAGAGCCTCCTCTTACTGCGCGGACCTAAGGATGAAGCTCCCTAACATGTGCCCCACCTCCATCCAACTCCTCTTCATTAGGTGACAGCCGCCGGAGAGCTGCAAAGTTGCCGTTTTTCTGCTCTACTAGGTGACAACCACCAGAGATGATTCAACGACTCACTTCATTGATCTCTAGATTTTGCAAGAAGATCTAGAGATTGCCCACGTCGTTTTTGTCCAAGGAGAGCCTTAGAGGTTGTGGACATTGCACGACGATCTTCCCGAACGCTCAGGATTCCGGTGCATCATCGACGCATCGCCGTCGCGATGCTGGAACTCTATTTTCCTACTTTTAATTTACTTTACACTTCATTTAGTGATAATTTTTGTGTTTATTAAGTTACCAAAATATACTTCGTTCAATTACGATTCTTCCGGCTTTTACAGATCTTAATTTGATTAATTAAATTGTCTGTAATCGCTTACGTAAGAATCGTCGGGTGAAACTCTGTTTCCGTCTGATTCGCATCTGCCGGGCGTTGACATCATCCCAATGTCTGCACCCTTATTTCTCTTTTTTTTCGTGAATTTTAAATATATTTCTTTTTTATTTTCTAGTATGAAATTCATAGAAAATCGTATTCATTGAGAAAAATTCTGAATAATTACTAGATATTATATTACATTGCTGTGATCGACTTGGAAAATTACCACTATTTTCGGAAGTTTATTGAATTAAAATTGATATATTTATTTAGAAATACTTCTAAATATCTTAGAATTCGTATTTTCTAGTTTTATAAATTTTATATTTGTGTGATTTCATATACAACGACTAAGTCACGTCAAATTTTGGCACCATTGCCAGGGATGTATTGCATAATATTTAGTATTTTTCTGTTTTTCTCTTAGAGTACACAAAAAAAAATTTAACTCTTTATTTTTTTTCTTTTTGCTGATTTTTTATTAGAAAAAGGGAACAAAAAGAAGCAAGGTAAGGACTGGAGCATCATGAAGGAGGGTAACAGTTACTAACTTTTTCCCTCGAATTTATGCATGGTATAAGATCCTTGCATCCAAGGCTAGAAAATCCTTTCATTATTTCATTCAAAAATAAAAATCCGAAAGAAAAATTAATTTTGATGGATCTTAAAGGAAGTACAGGTCAAATTGAGAAAATCCTATGGCTATGAAAAATCATTTTATCGTTGATTCATTTCAAAGAGCATCTAATATTAGAGTCCCATTAGCACCCACTGTTAAATTCAAAATAAATCCAAGAATTTTTCAAATGCTTTCTAATTTTCATGGATTACCTTTAGAGGAACCTCATCAGCCCTTAGAAAAATTTCATATGGTTTGTGATTTAGTTAATCTCCCTCAAGTTACACCGGAAATTATTAAGATGAAATTATTCCCTCATACACTTAGGGACAAAGCTAGTCATTGGCTATCCACATTAGATAGAGAATTAACTAGCTGGAAAGATATAGAACAGGCTTTTCTTCAAAAATTTTATCCCTTAGGAAAAACTCAAAATATGAGAAAATATATATAGAGTTTTTCTCAAAGACTAGGAGAAACTTTGCATGAGATATGGGAAAAATTCAAAGATTTACTTAGAAAGTGTCCTCATCATGCTATACCCAAGTGGCAGCTCAATAGAATTTTTTATGATGGATTTATTAGAACAACATAGAAATATGGTTGATTTTATATGTGGAGGAGCTTTTATGGAGAAAACTCTTGATGATATTTATAGTCTTTATGAGAATTTAAGTGAAAATTCTAGAGATCAAGCCTCTTTTGAATTATATGACAGGGATAAGAAGAGAGGAATTTATGAATTGTATCATGATGATGATTCTAAACTTAGAAATGAGGTTAATCAGATTAATAAAAGATTAGAAAAAATTAATTTACTTATTGACAATATTAGAAAGCCTTTTAACCCTCAACTTAATTCGAATAGTATATGTCCTATGTATGGTGAAAATGATTGTTCTGAATTTCAATGTTATAATTTAGAGCAATTATTTCATCCTATGTAAGAATAAGTGCAAGTAGCTCACGATTTTAATAGAAATAGGGAACCTTTTCAAATTCTTATAATCCTAATTGAAGGAATAATTTTTCATTGAGAGACCCAAATAATATTCAAAATCCAAAAGCACTTAGACCCAATTCAAACTCTGAATTTCGTCCAAAACAAGAAAACAAATTTAAGAAAAATTAGCCCTCTCAAACCCAACCTAATACTATGGAAATGATGCAGCAAATGAGCTAAATGATGCAACAAACTATGAATCAAATGATGCAGCATCAGAAACAAATTATAGAGGCCCTTGGGAATAAGAGAGAAAAGGGTCAGCTACCTAATCAGCCCATAGAAAATCTAGGGAACCACCCAACAATAGGATTTCAGCAAGGGGAGTCTAGTAGCATGAATCTAGGAAAAAACCTACGAAATAAAAATGTTAGGACAGTGAATGCATTAAGGAGTGGTAAGATCTTACCTGATCGTTATCCCCAAACATTAGAAGAAAAAGAAAACGTGGACAACCCAAAACAAAATCAAATAGGAGTAGAAGAGGATTTTATAGATTCTACCAAGGAAATTTCGAAAGAGAAGACAATCATTCCATTTCTTAAAGCTCTAGAGCCTAGACAAAGAAAGAAAAAGGAACACAATGAAGAAATAAAGAAAATTTTACAAGATGTGTAAATTAGTCTTCCTTTACTCACTGCCATTGAACATATTCTTGAATATGCTAGAGTTTTGAAAGAAATGTGTACACCAAAAAAGACACCTAGAGTAGAAAAATTATCTATGCATGCTAGTGCATTATTATTAAATCAATTACCATATAAATTGAGAGATACAAGTGCCCCTTTAATTTCGTGTGATATTGGTAGATCCATTTTTCATAATGCATTACTTGACACCGATGCTAGTATTAATTTATTACCTACAAGTATTTGTGATAAATTTAATATTTCTATTCTTAAACCTTCTACTGTTACCTTACAATTTATTGATAGATCCATAAAACATCCTAAAGGTATTTTAGAAAATGTGATAGTAACAGTTAAAGGGTGTAAATTTCTAGCTGATTTTGTAGTGTTGGAAATAGATTTTAATAGACAGTTTTATGATACATCAATCATTCTAGGGAGACTATTTTTGCATTTAGTAAAGATGAATATTAATTTTCCCACAGGTATTACGAAAATTTCATGTGGAGATCAATCAATAGAAATTAAAATTTTTGAGGTACCGAATGATCTTAAGAAATCTCAAGTATCTGATTGTCGTACCATAGATCTTCTAGATGATTTTGATGATCTAGATGTTATTGATGATTGTGTGTTGGAAGAATTAGAGGAAATAGAGAATATAAATTTAGGAGAAAAGAAAGAGGAAGATCATCCGAATTTAGAGTTGAAACCTCTTCCCTCTAGTTTAAAATATTTGTTTTTGGAGGAAAATAGTTCATTTCCTGTTATTATTGTAGTTGATTTGAGTGATGAACAGGAAGAAGAATTATTAGATGTACTTCGAAAAAATAAGAAGGCCATGGGCTAGACATTAGACGATCTAAGAGGTATTGATATGAGTGTATGCATGCATAGTATATATCTAGAGGAGGGGGCTAGAACTAGTAGGGAACCAGAACGAAGATTAAATTCTAACATGATGGAAATTGTAAAAAAAGCAATTTTAAAGTGGCTGGCTACTGATATTATTTATCCTATTTCAGATAGCAAATGGGTTAGTCCTACACAAGTAGTGCCAAAAAAATCAGGGATCACTGTTATAAAAAATGAAAATGGGGATGAAATACAAACAAAATTAACTACTAGTTGGAGGATTTGCATTGAGTATAGAAAATTAAATTCAGTTACTAGAAAATATCATTTTCTCCTACCATTTACTAATCAAATTCTAGAAAAATTAGCTGAAAAAAACTTTTTTTATTTTTAACAACTTTCACTTGTCTATTTGGTACTTTTGCTTTTAAAACGAATGCCTTTTGATTTGTGTAATGCTCCAGCCACATTTCAAAGATGTATGCTGTCTATTTTTTCTGATATGATTAGAAAATACATGGAAATTTTTATGGATGATTTTTCTATGTTTACTGAATCATTTGATGAATGCTTAAATCATTTACAACATGTAATTGAGAAATACATAGAGAAAAAATTAGTTTTGAGTTGGGAGAAATCACATTTTATAGTTAAAGAGGGAGTTGTGTTGGGTCATATTGTGAGTGAAAGGGGTTTAGAGGTGGATAGAGTAAAAATTGATATTATATCTAAAATGAAACCTCCAAATTCAGTAAAACAGATTAGATCTTTCTTGGGTCATGCAGGCTATTACAGAAAATTTATTCAAGATTTTTCAAAAATTTCTAAATCTCTTACCATGCTATTATCTAAAGATGTGCCTTTTAATTTTGATGAGAAATGTTTTGAGTCTTTTTTCGAAATAAAAAGATTACTTATTGAGGCACCCATTTTACAAGCTCCTGATTGGTCCCTTCCTTTTGAAATAATGTGTGATGCATCGAATTATGTAGTGGGGGCTGTTCTAGGACAAACAAAAGAGTCAAAACCCATAGTAATTTCATATGCTAGTAAAACTATATCCGATGCTCAATTAAATTATACCATGACTGAAAAAGAGTTGTTAGCTATAGTATTTTTGTTAGAAAGGTCTAGATCATATATTTTGGGAGCTAAAATTATTATTTATACTGATCATACATCATTAAAATATCTGTAAATAAGAAAGATGCAAAGCCACGTTTATTAAGATGGATTTTATTGTTGCAGGAATTTGACTAAGAAATAAAAGATAAAAAAGGTTTCGAGAATGTTGTTGCTGACCATCTTTCTAGATTAAGTGATATAGGAATAAATGCAGCACTTTTACAAGATGCATTTCCAGATGAACAATTGATGGCAGCTCAACATCAACCATCACCATGGTATGCACATATTGTTAATTTTCTGGTTTCTAGAAAAACTCTAGAATAACGGGATAAGAACAGAAAACATTATTTCTTTTCTAAGATTAGAAATTATTTTTGACATGATCCTGATTTATATTACTTGGGCAATGATCAAATTTTAAGGAGATGTGTTCCTGAAGAAGAATATCATAGCATTATTAACATGTGCCATTCATCTAACTGTGGAGGACATTTCTCTGGACAAAAAAAAACTGTAAAAATTTTTGAGTGTGGTTTTTATTGGCCTACAATCATTAGAGATTCTATATAATTTAGTAGAACATGTATTTCATGCCAATCTATAGGTAACATGAGTAAAAATGATGAAATGCCCATGAGTAACATGTCAGTAGTTGAAATTTTTGATGTATGGGGAATAGATTTCATGGGTCCCTTCTCATCAGCCAAAAAATATGAATATATTTTGCTTGCTGTTGATTATGTGTCGAAGTGGGTGGAAGCTATTCCTACTAGAACTAATGATCATAAAATTGTGATGAAATTTGTGCAGGAAAATATTTTTTCGAGATTTGGATGTCCTAGAGTAATTATTAGTGATGGAGGAATACATTTTACAAATAAACATTTCAGATAAGTATTGAAAAAGAATGGAGTACACCATAGAGTAGCCACTCCATATCATCCCTAAACAAATGGGCAAGCTAAAGTAGCAAATAGGGAAATTCAGAGAATTTTGAGAAAAATAATTAGACCAGATAGGAAAGATTGGCCCACGAAATTACAAGATGCATTATGGGCTTATAGAACAGCTTATAAAAATCCCATAGGTATGTCCCCATTTCGTCTCATTTTTGGAAAGCCATGTCATCTTCCTGTAGAAATAGAGCATAAAGCATTATGGGCTATAAAAAATTTATGTATGAATGAAAAATCAGCTAGTGGGCATAGAATTTTTCAGCTACATGAACTAGAGGAGTTGAGGAATGAAGCTTATGAAAATCATAGAATCTATAAAGAAAAAACTAAAACTTTTCATGATAAGAAAAGTTGGGGGGTGAAGTTTCATTATTAATTTATGATGTAGGATGATTAAGAACATGTGTTTGCATTTTATTCAACTTAAAACAGCAACTAAAAAAATAAAAATAAAAATAATTTCAAAAAAACTATATCTCTTTTCTGGTTTTCTGTTGGAGACAACAGACTGTCAAAAATAGCAAACAAAAAACAGCCTAAAACTTGAAATTCTAGAAATCCTTTTCTTACATTTCAATCCCCTACACATATATTATTGAAATTTGAAGTTACAGCTATAAAGAGGATAATTTTGATTTATTTTTGATAAATTTATTATTACTAAAAACAAAACTTAAAATAAAAAATGAAATTGTCAGAACTATGTAATTTACAAATTTCTTACATCATATTGCATGCATGAAAAATTAAATCAATTTGATTGAATGATATCAAAAGATACCAAAAAGATTATTATTGAGTCAAAAGAATGATCTAGTAGCATGAAATGTTGGAATACTCCTTTGATACATGATAGATAACATAGATTTGATTTTACAAATTTTCACTTCATGATCTTGATGGATAGTATTTACTTGATGTGAAAATTTGATTGATCATTTAAGTTTAATGGAGATTTTTGCACCCTGATCTATAGGACTTGTGAGGAGAAATCACTTATTTCGAAAAAAAAAAGGAGAGAGCAATGTGAAAAATCTAGAAACGAAGAGTACACATAGAGGGTGTGAGACATCATTCTCATTGTCGAAAATCGTACATAGAAAAAAAATTGCTGAAAAATAAGTGGATAAAGTGAAAGCCTTGAAAATGAAGAGTACACATAGAGGGTGTGAGACATCATTCTTATTGTCGAAATTTGTCTACAGAGAAAGCTACTTATCCACTATATATAAAAATAAAAAAAATGAAGAAAGAAATATAGTGCAAACTTCAAAAATCAAGCCATAGAAAAAGAAAAATGTAGGATCAATATTATTCTTAGATGAGCATTGATAATTGGAACATCTTGTAAATACATCTATAAGTGAAGAAGTAATAGAGATGTGAATAGAAGAAGTGAAGTCTAGATTGTTATTCCAAGGAGTGCTTAAACATTTAAGTGTTTGACATCATTCTTAAATACTTGATATAAGAATCCAAAGTGTTTAAAGGTGCATCATTTCTAATTTTATTTTTTTTTCTGTATTGAAATATGATGTTTGAGATTTGTAAATTTTTATTTTCATAATTCCATTGCTAAGGGACTAGCAATGATTTAAGTTGGGGGGTATGATAAGTCTTCATTATCATGAGTTAATAATTAGTAAATAATATATTTTTAGCCTTAACTCATGATAAATAGACTTATATTTGTGTTAAAGTATGATTTGTGGTTTTCAATTAATTAATGTGAATTTTTGGGTAATTATGTGATTTTATACGATTTTTACAGTCTTATTTGTGAGATAAATGAAGAATAAGAAATAAAAAATATTGCAAAATGGGGAGACCCACCGGCCAGCCAAGCCCGCAAGTGAGTCGGAAGCGAAGTCAGGGAGTAGCCACGAGCAGGGGCTCAAGCGGCTTGGCTTGGACCGATAGGGGCATGTGTGTGCCACTCCCCTTCCATGTCACTAGTGGTCAGCCAGCTGTGGGGCAAGGAGTGGTTGCACATGTGAGAGTAGTGACTTTGCTTATAAAGCTAATATTACTATATATTCGCCTGAAAAATTAGCGCACAACCAATGTGGGACTAAACCCGCATCACACCTTCTTGAGAGGCGGGCGATCGGCAAGGGTTCGAATCCTCCAAGAGTCAAAATTCATATATTTTTATCTGATTATCGCAACTTTCTTATAGATCGCCGGTGAAGGATTAAGCAACGAGAATCATTGGATCATCGGCAAAAATCTCATCAACGTGATTTGCGGAGCATTGCTACTAAAATAGCTGAACGATTCGTGATAAAAGGATCGCAATCCATTGAGTAAATCATCTCTAATTGATCGACGAACAAGCCGTCGTTAGAAAGAGGACGATCCACCGGGAGACGAGTCACCACCTCTTGAGAGCGTACCAGATGCGATGAAGAGCCTCCTCTTGCTGCACGGACCTGAGGATGAAGCTCTCTAACATGCGCCTCACCTCCATCCAGCTCCTCTCCATTGAGTGACAGCCGCCAGAGAGCCGCAAAGTCACCGTTTTTCTGCTCCACTGAGTGACAGTTGCCATAGATGATTTGATGACCCACTTCATTGATCTCTAGACTTCGCGAGAAGATCTAAAGATTGCCTACGTCATCTTTGTCTAAAGAGAGCCTTCGAGGCTGTGGACATTGCACAACGATCCTCCCGAACGCTTAGGATTTTGGTGCATCGCCAATGCATCACCGTCGCGATGCTGGAACTCTATTTTACTTCTTTCAATTTACTTTACACTTCATTTAGTGATAATTTTTGTGTTTTTAAGTTACCAAAATATACTTTGTTCAATTACGATTCTTCTGGCTTTTACATATCTTAATTTGATTAATTAAATCATTTGTAATCGCTTACGTAAGAATCACCAGACGGAACTCTGTTTCTGCCCAATTTGCATCCGTCGGGCACTGACATCATCCCGACATTTGCACCCTTATTTCCTTTTTTTTCGTGAATTTTAAATATATTTCCTTTTTATTTTCTACTATAAAATTTATAGAAAATTGTATTCATTGAGAAAAATTCTGAATAATTACTAGATATTATATTACATCCCTGTGATCGACTTGGAAAATTACTGCTATTTTTGGAAGTTTTGTTGAATTATAATTGATAGATTTATTTAGAAATACTTCTAAATATCTGAAAATTCATATTTTCTAGTTTTATAAATTTTATATTTGCATGATTTAATATACAACGACTGAGTCACGTTAGTTGTTTAATCATCTCCGACGGCTGTCACTTGGTGGAGTGGAAAAATGACAACTTTGCGGCTCTCTGGCGGCTATCACCCGACAAAGAGGAGCTAGATGGAGGTGGGGTGCGTGTTAAGGAGCTTCATCCTCAAGTCTGCGCAGCAAGAGGATGCTCTTCATCGCATCTGGTATGCTCTCAGGAGGTGGCAACTCATCTCCTGGCAGATCGTCCTCTTCCTAACGACGGCTTGTTCGTCAATCAATCAAAGATGATTTACTCGATGGATTGTGATCCTTTTATCACGAATCGTTCAACAATTTTAGTAGCAATGCTCCACGAATCACGTTGACGAGATTTTCACCGATAATCTAGCGATTCTTGTTGCTTAATCCTTCACCGGCGATCTGCAGGAAAGTCGCGATAATCAGATAAAAATATATGAATTTTGACTTTGGAAGGATTTGAACCCTCACCGGTCGCCCGCCTCTGAGGAAGATGTGATGTGGGTTTAGTCCCACATCGATTGTGTGCTGATTTTTCAGGCGAATATATAGTAATGTTAGTTTTATAAGCAAAGTCACTACTCTCGCATGTACGACCACTCCTTGCCCCACAACCAGTTGGCCACCAGTGACGTGGAAGGAGAGTGGCGCACACGTGCCCCTATCAATCTAAGCCAAGCTACTCAAGCCCTTGCTCGCGGCTACTCCCCAACTATGCTTCTGACCCGCTTGCGGGCCTAGCTGGCCAGCGGGTCCCCCCATTTTGTAATATTTTTATTTCTTGTTCTTCATTTATCTCAAAAGTAAGACTATAAAAATCGTATAAAATCACATAATTACTCAAAAATTCACATTAATCAACTGAAAACCACAAATCATACTTTAACACAAATATAAGTCTATTTATCATGAGTTAAGGCTAAAACTATATTATTTACTAATTATTAACTCATGATAATGAAGACTTCTCAGTACACCATAGATCATCTTATATGATCTAAGAGTTGTTTAGCCAAAGACATTAAATTCAACGTTGCATGGGAGGCAACCCATGGTTTTTATTTTATTATGTTTGATTTTTTTTTAGTTTTATTTTTCTTATAATTTTGCAATACTTATTTTTGTATTTGTTTTTTTTGAAAAAGTGCAGGAAGAGTGTAAGATGAAGTAGAAAATTAAAAACTAGGTTGAGGTGATGTCTTTCTGAGATTTATAATTTATGACAACATTTTAAATGCTTAAGTTTACATATATGCATGCTTCACTTGAAAATTATATTTTTTCCATATTTTGTTTTGATTTTTCTATGTCATTAAGGACAATGTCATTTTTAAGTTGGGGGGTGAAGTATTCATTATTAATTTATGCTGTAGAATGATTAAGAACATGTGTTTGCATTTCATTTTTATTTTTACACGCTCACTTAGAATAGCAACTAAAAAAATTAAAATAAAATAAATTTAAAAAACTAAAACATCTATTTTCTAGTTTTCTGTTAGGAACAACGGACTGTCAAAAATAGCAAACAAAAAACAGCCCAAAATTTGAAATTCTAGAAATCCTTTTCTTACATTTCAATCCCCTACACATATATTACTAAAATTCGAAGTTACAGATATAAAGAGGATAATTTTGATTTATTTTTGATAAATTTATTATTACTAAAAACAAAACTTAAAATAAAAAACGAAATTGTCAGAACTATGTAATTTACAAATTTCTTACATCATATTGCATGCATGAAAAATTAATACCAAAAGATACCAGAAAGATTGTTATTGAGTCAAAAGATTGATCTAGTAGCATGAAATGTTGGAATACTCCTTTGATACATGATAGATAACATGGATTTGATTTTACAACTTTTCACTTCATGATCTTGATGCATATTATTTACTTGATGTGAAAATTTGATTGATCATTTGAGTTTAATAGAGATTTTTGCACCCTGATCGATAGGACTTCTAAAGAAAAACTACTTATTTCAAAAAAAAAAAGAGAAAGAGTAATGTGAAAAATCTAGAAATGAAGAGTACATATAGAGGGTGTGAGACATCATTCTCATTGTTGAAAATCGTGCATAGAAAAACACTTGTTGCAAAATAAGTGGATAAAGTGAAAGCCTTGAAAATGAAGAGTACACATAGAGGGTGTGAGACATCATTCTTATTGTCAAAATTTGTCTACAGAGAAAGCTACTTATCTACTATATATAAAAATAAAAAAAATGAAGAAAGAAATATAGTGCAAACTTCAAAAATCAAGTTATGGAAAAAGGGAAATGTAGGATCAATATTATTCTTGGATGAGTATTGATAATTAGAACATCTTGTAAATATATCTATGAGTGAAGAAGTAATAAAGATGTGAATAGAAGAAGTGAAGTTTAGATTGTTATTCCAAGGAGTGCTTAAACATTTAAGTGCTTGACATCATTCCTAAATACTTGATATAAGAATTCAAAGTGTTTAATGGTGCAGCATTTCTAATTGTATTTTTTTTTCTGTATTGAAATATGATGTTTGAGATTTGTAAATTTTTATTTTCATAATTCCATTGCTAAGGGACTAGCAATGATTTAAGTTGGGGAATGTGATAAGTCTTCATTATTATGAGTTAATAATTAGTAAATAATATAGTTTTAGCCTTAACTCATGATAAATAGACTTATATTTGTGTTAAAGTTTGAAAAGTAGTTTTCAGTTGATTAACATAAATTTTTTGTGTAATTATGTAATTTTATACGAATTTATATGATTTTTATAGTCTTACTTTTGAGATAAATAAAGAAAAAGAAATTAAAATAAAAATAAAACAAAATTAGGGGGACTTGCCGGCTAGTTGGGCCCCACAAGCAAGTTGGAAGCGTAGTTGGAGAGTAGCCACAAGTAGGGGCTTGAGTGGCTTGGACCGATAGGGACACGTGTGCACCACTCCCCTTTCATGTCACTAGTGGCCAGCCGACTGTGGGGCAAGGAGTGGTCATACATGCGCGAGAAAGGAACTTACTTCCAAATGTAACATTACTATATATTCGCTTGAAAATTTGGCACACAACCGATGTGGGACTAAACTAGCATCACATCCTCCCTAGAAAGGGGCGAGCAATCAGTGCGAGTTCAAATCCTCTCAGAGTCAAACTCATATTTTTATCTGATTATCGTGACTTTCCTACATATCACCGATGAAGGATTAAGCAACCAGAATCGTTGGATCATTGGTAAAAATCTCATCAATGCGATTCGCGAAGCATTTTTACTAAAATTGTTGAAGGATTCACGATAAAAGGATCACGAATTCATCGAGTAAATCATCTCCGATTGATCGACAAACAACCCGTCGTCAGGAAGAGGACGATCCACCAAGAGATGAGTCACCACCTCCTGAGAGTGTACTAAATGCAATGAAGAGCCTCCTCTTGCTGCGCGGACCTAACGATGAAGCTCCCTAACACGTGCCCCACCTCCATCCAGCTCCTCTTCATCAGGTGACAGCTACTAGAGAGTTGCAAAGTCACCATTTTTCTGCTCCGCTGGGTGACAGCTGTCGGAGACGATTTGACGACCCATTTCATATATCTCCAGACTTCACAAAGAGATCTAGAGATTGCTCACGTCGTCCGTGTCCAAGGAGAGCCTTTGAGGCTGTGGACACTGTACGACGATCTTCGCGAATACTTAGAATTCTAGTGCATCGCCAATGCATCGCCGCCATGACGTCAAAACTCTGTTTTCCTGCTTTCAACTTAATTTTTGTTTCCTTTAGTGATAATTTGTTGATTTTAAATTTACCACTAATTAATGGCATTCTCATTCCCAAGATTATCATGAAGAAGAAATTACTTGGAGCACATCAAGATCATCATAGGTCAAGCATCACTCAACTTAGAATTGACACATAATGATATTTGTGCAAGATTCAAATTCAAGGTGTCCTTATAATCCTCTCCATGGATAGATTAATGACGTGACTCAGTCGTTGTATATTAAATCACGTAAATCTAAAATTTATAAAACTAGAAAATACGAATTTTCAGATATTTAGAAGTATTTATAAAAAAATATATCAATTATAATTCAATAAAAGTTCCAAAAATAGTGGTAATTTCCCAAGTCGATCACAGGGATGTAATATAATATTTTGTAATTATTCAGATTTTTTCTCAATGAATACGATTTTTTATGAATTTTATACTAGGAAATGAAAAGGAAATATATTTAAAATTCACGAAAAAAAAGAAAGGAAATAAAGGTGCGGACGACAGGATGACGTCAGGGCTTTCACTTTATCCACTTATTTTTCAGCAAGTGTTTTTCTATGCACGATTTTCGACAATGAGAATGATGTCTCACACCCTCCATGTGTACTCTTCGTTTCTAGATTTTTCACATTGCTCTCTCTTTTTTTTTCGAAATAAGTGATTTCTCCTCACAAGTCCTATAGATCAGGGTACAAAAATCTCTATTAAACTTAAATGATCAATCAAATTTTCACATCAAGTAAATACTATCCATCAAGATCATGAAGTGAAAATCTGTAAAATCAAATCCATGTTATCTATCATGTATCCAAGGAGTATTCCAACATTTCATGCTACTAGATCATTCTTTTGACTCAATAATAATCTTCCTAGTATCTTTTGGTATCAATCAATCTAATTGATTTAATTTTTCATGCATGTAATATGATGTAAGGAATTTGTAAATCAGATAGTTCTGACAATTCTGTTTTCTGTTTTCAATTCTATTTTTAGCAGCAATAAATTTGTCAAAAATAAATCAAAACTATCTTCTTTATAGCTGTAATTTCGAATTTCAGTAATATATATCTAGGGGATTGGACAGAAAACCAGAAAATAGATGTTGCAATTTTTCCGAATTTTATTTTATTTTTATTTTTTTAGTTGCTGTTCTAAGTTGAATAAAATGCAAACACATGTTCTTAATCATCCTACAGCATAAATTAATAATGAATACTTCACCCCCCAACTTAAAAATGACATTGTCCTTAATGACACAAAAAACTCAAAACAGAATATGCAGAAAATATAATTTTCAAGTGAAGCATGGATATCTGCAAAGTTAAGCATTAAAAATATTTTCATAAATGATGAAGCTCAGAAAGACATCACCTCAACCTCGTTTTTAATTTTCCACTTCATCTTACACTCCGCCTGCACTTTTTCGATAGAAAAATAAATACAGAAACAAGTACTACGAAATTCTAAGAAAAACAGAGCTTAAAAAAAATCAAACAAAATGAAATAAAAACCATGGGTTGCCTCCCATGCAGCGCTGAATTTAATGTCTCCAGCTGGACAGCTCTTATATCATATAAGATGATCTAAGGCCATCAAAATATATTTGTATCCCAAGGTAAGTTTCATGATATTCTTTTTCAGATTTAGCATAAATTTATATACTTCATATATATACCTTGACATACTTTCAGCCAAAATAAAATGGAAATTAACAATTTTTTCCCAAAAATAATATTTTCATTTTGAAAAGAATCTTTCCTTATTTCTATCTTGTTTTGTTAGGCTCTCATTCATTAATAAATACTTTCTATTAATAAACCATAAAATGTGATCAGGCCATATAATTTTCAGATTAGCTCTTGCCCAATCTAATTTTTTTTCATCTAAATTGGTACCTCTAATTCTTCCACTCACCCATTTCTTAATGTCTTCTTTTATCTGCATAATCTTCCCTTGCTCCATTTTATCTTCCATACATATTTGTTCAATTTGCGAGGAGTGAAATATTTCAAGCTTAGAAATAATTCTAATGGGCTGTGGGTTTTGAAGGATGGAAGGATTGTCTTCTTTAATCTCAGATCTAATGAATTCAGTAAAATTCAAATTTTCTCCTCCAAAATTATCTCTATATTCATATCTATTATTTTCGCTTGTTCCCATTAGTTGAATCAATTCTTTTTCTAGCTTTTCGTTTCTCAACTCATCAAATTCTTCATCTTCCCAAGAGCTATCTTTTAATTTTGGTATATGATATACATCATCATCCTCACAATCAACATCCATGGCTGCAAAATTATGATTAGATTCATTAATTTCGTCTCCTACATCTCCCAAATCAATTGATTTTTCTTCACCTGAAATATATTTTTCTTCATTTCTGTCCTTACTCCCTTCTACTAAAATTTGGATGATTTTTCTATGATCAGTTGCTGTTTCTTCATCTAAGGGTTCTTTCTCCTCATCATCCTCACTATATTCATTCATCAATTGCGAGCAATAAATGATTTTATTCAAATTTTCTGCTACTACATTTTTGGCCTTAATATTCTCATTTACTTCTAATGGATCATCAATTTCTTCTAATAATTGGAAATAAGGATCAGGTAAAATATTCTCACTCAATATATTCACTGTCCTAACATTTTCATTTCGTGGGTTTTTTTCTAAATTTATCTAGCTAGACTCTCTTTGCTGAAATCTTACTGTTGGACAGTTTTCTGAATTTTCTATGGGCTGACTAGGTAGCTGTCCCTCTTCTCTCTTATTCTCAAGAGCTTCTATAATTTGTTTCCGATGAAGCATCATTTGATTCATAGTTTGTTGCATCATTTGGCTCATTTGCTGCATCATTTCCATAGCATCAGGTTGGGTTTGAGAGGGCTGATTTTTCTGAAATCTATTTTCTTGTTTTGGACGAAATTCAGAGTTTGAATTGGGTCTAAGTGCTTCTGGATTTTGAATATTATTTGGGTCTCTCCATGAAAAACTATTCCTCCAATTAGGATTATAAGAATTTGAAAAAGGTTCCCTGTTTCTATTAAAACCATGAGCTACTTGCACTTGTTCTTGCATAGGGTGAAATGATTGATCTAAATTATAACATTGAAATTCAGAATAATCGTTTTCACCATACATAGGACATGTACTATTCGAATTAAGTTGAGGATTAAAAGGCTTTCTAATATTTTCAATAAGTAAATCATTTTTTTCTAATCTTTGATTAATCTGATTAACCTCATTTCTAAGTTTAGAATCATCATCATGATACAATTCATAAATTCCTCTCTTCTTATCCCTGTCATATAATTCAAAAGAGGCTTGATCTCTAGAATTTTCACTTAAATTCTCATAAAGACTGTAAATCTCATCAGGAGTTTTCTCCATAAAAGCTCCTCCACATATAGAATCAACCATATTTCTATGTTGTTCTAATAATCCATCATAAAAAATTCTATTAAGCTGCTACTTGGGTATAGCATGATGAGGACACTTTCTAAGTAAATCTTTAAATTTTTCCCATGTCTCATGCAAAGTTTCTCTTGGTCTTTGAGAAAAACTCTATATATGTTTTCTCATATTTTGAGTTTTTCCTAAGGGATAAAATTTTCGAAGAAAGGCCTGTTCTATATCTTTCCAGCTAGTTAATTCTCTATCTAATGTGGATAGCCAATGACTAGCTTTGTCCCTAAGTGTATGAGGGAATAATTTCATCTTAATAATTTCCGGTGTAACTTGAGAGAGATTAACTAAATCACAGACCATATGAAATTTTTCTAAGTGCTGATGAGGTTCCTCTAAAGGCAATCCATGAAAATTAGGGAGCATTTGAAAAATTCCTGGATTTATTTTGAATTTAACAGTGGGTGCTAATGGGACTCTAATATTAGATGCTCTTTGAAATGAATCACGGGTATAATGATTTTTCATGGCCATAGGATTGTTCTCAGTTTGACCTGTACTTCCTTCAGGATCCATCAAAATTAATTTTTCTTTCGGATTTTTATTTTTGAATGAAATAATGAAAGGATTTTCTAGCCTTGGATGCAAGGATCTTCTACCATGCATAAAAATCAATAAATTCGAGGGAGAAAGTTAGTGACTGTTACCCTCCTTCAGGATGCTCCAGTCCTTGCCGTGCTTCTTTTCGTTCCCTTTTTCTAATAAAAATCGGCAAAAAGAAAATAAAACAAGAGTAAAGTTTTTTTTTGTGTACTCTAAGAGAAAAATAGAAAAATACTAAATATTATGCAATACATCCCCGGCAACGGCGCCAAAATTTGATGTGACTCAGTCGTTGTATATTAAATTACGTAAATCTAAAATTTATAAAACTAGAAAATACGAATTTTCGGATATTTAGAAGTATTTATAAATAAATATATCAATTATAATTCAATAAAAGTTCCGAAAATAGCGGTAATTTCCCAGGTCGATCACAGGGATGTAATATAATATTTTGTAATTATTCAGTATTTTTTTCAATGAATACGATTTTCTATGAATTTTATACTAGGAAATGAAAAGGAAATATATGTAAAATTCACAAAAAAAAAGAAAGGAAATAAGGGTGCAGACGACAGGATGACGTCAGCGCCCGGCGAACGCGAATCGGGCGGAAACAGAGTTCCACCCGGCGATTCTTACGTAAGCGATTACAGACGATTTAATTAATCAAATTAAGATCTGTAAAAGCCGGAAGAATCGTAATTGAACGAAGTATAGTTTGGTAAATTAAAATCACACAAAGTATCACTAAATGAAGCGTAAATTAAATTGAAAGCAGGAAAACAGAGTTCCGGCGTCGCGACG